TTTTATTATTTCTATTAGGAAGTTATGTATGGTAATGTTTTTACTCAGTTTTGTTAAAGGGGTCCAAATCCGCGGAGGGGAGTCCAAATCCGCTAGCGGATATGGACCCCGGGGGTCCAAATCCGCTAGCGGATATGGACCGGGGGGGTCCATATCCGCTAGCGGATTTGGACCGGGGGGTCCAATTCTAGGGGGGTCCAAATCCGCTGGGACACCGGGAAGGCTTTGCCGATCATTTATCAAATTGTCCGAGTGGCGCTAAAGGTGAGTGACGTGTCAGCAGCTGATTGGCTATATCAACACACGTGAAAAAATACGAAATTTTTTCACGTGTGTTGTTACGGCTTTTCTCAGGGCCGGAAATCCCTGTATAACACCGCAGTTTATGTGATAAAAAACTTTTTTCGGAAATTATGAGTAGGTATCAATGGAAAAGTAACTTTGATATTCATAGCATAGATTCTTGTTTTACAATAAGATGTTTTCAGTTTTTTGAGGGTGCGTTCCTTTGGGAGAATCCGGATCTGGATTTCTGATCTGTGGCGTTCCTTTCGAGCAAATCCATTTTCAGATCAGTGGTCTATCAAATCCACTCTGGACAAGAATTCATCGGATCACTGATCTTCGTGACCTAAAGACGAATCATTGGATCATTGATCCAACGTGTTCCTTTGAGCGAAGGATCCGAAATTAATCATTTTGCCCAGCGGCGCTCAATCTCAAATTAGATTCTTCATATATTGACCGAAAAGATTGTTGGAAATCGCTCCACAAATTCTGCGATAAACACGAAATAAAATCAATTTTGTAATGTTAAATCGAGCGGCCACTGATCGCAGGCATTCAGGGTTCCCAAGTATCCGTATCGTAATCAATACTTGCTTCTGTAAGTCAGTAGCAGATCTCCCACCACTCCTTTGCCCATGAGGCAGACCTAGGCAAGTAGCTAACAGGCGTTCCATACAGCTGACTGTAGTTCTTGACATCCGAAAATGACTTAAAAAATCTGAAACAATGTAGATTAGTTTAATACGTTCGAAGTACTTCTCAATGTGGACATGGCTCTGCCTCTCCCTTAAAAAAAAAACAAAAACAAACAATAGTAATTCTTCATCTTGACAACTTCTCACTTCTTGTAGTGTTGAATCATCCGAAAGTTCCTTTATTAACGAAACAACAGCTGTTCTATCCACGACGGCCATCTTGTTTCCGTTTTTAAATTTAGCGCATTCCGCCTACGCGCTCTACAATTTCGCGCCTGCTGTCATGGTTACTGATCTGGTGATGACTTTGATGCAACGTGATCTGTGTGATCTTGGATCACAAATCCTTATCTGGAACCTCGTAAAGGAACGCACCCTTAAATTTCCCATAAAGACCAATCTAGGCCTACTGCTCAACCGCTGACTGAAAATCAATCGGGATAACTCCAGGGCCGTAAAAAACTCGGATCAGCAGAAGGAAGGAAAACTTTCACTTGCTTTACCTTTTCATTGGATTAAAATTTTTACATGTGATACCGATCATTATAGTCTATTCAATAACATATACAACCATACTAGAGTATTAATGTCCACCCAGGAACATATCAACAGGAGCTCTCATATCAACAGGAGCTCTCACATCCCATATAAACCCTTGGAGACTTCCTTTGCCCGTATTTTTTTCTGATTTTTTCTTCTGATTGTGATACTCTCGCGGACGTGGTGAGAACAGAGTATATCGGGGGAATTTTGAAAACTAAGACTGTTCTTAAAATAAAATGATATACAGGCAGCGTAGGTAGGTATGATGCGTGAGGAAGCTCCTAGTCCTAATGCTCAATCTTGTTCCCAGTGTCCTCTCTTCCCTGTTCAAATGAACAACCTTGGGGAACCTGTAAGTGAGGCGGCAGTTACAAGATAACGTCGGTTTAATGAGGAGACAAGGGCGAATCACTTTGGAAAACATAAAATCTTGTAAGGTATGAGTACAATGTTAAATTAAGCTTATTTCCCACGATGGTAGTAGTAGTTGGGTATATACCTAAATAATTTATAGTCATCTGGGTTTCCTTTTCAAATTCGATGGAGTTACCGCTATCAATTAAAAGAACTGAAGTAGTTTGTTTTCATTTGAAATTTACTTTGGAATGTCTCAACTGTTAAATGTTTCCATTGCCATTAAGCATATCTTGAACCAAATGGAAATCTCAATGGAACCAATGTTTCAACAGTGATGCTCTCCGGTAAACTGCAATTTAAGCAATTGCAGAAAAGGAAGGCAAAAATATGTAGGTTTTGACTTCATTCAAACCTGTGCCTCCCAAATACTACCAACTGAAGAATTTTTCGTGAATGCACCATGGAAAGCTTGGATGGATGAATAGTGAGCAAATCCTTCTCCTTTTGAGATGGCTGTCCCTTTGTCAGTCAAAAGCATATGAGAGAGTTTCCTTACTAAAGAAATTTACACTCAATAAGTTATTTGGGCAACAGATAATTTAGAATAAAATAGATGAATGTACTTTGATGAAAGCAAGGTTCAAAATAACAGCCAGCTGCCGGCGGCAGCCGGAACTTTAAGCGCACTTATCAGCGATTTTTCACCGAAGAACTAGAATTTCATAGCAAAATATTACGCTTACTGATCGTCCAACTGAAGTAAAAGTCGCTGTGATGCTATGATGAACATTTCTTGCTAGGCAATTAAGCAGCCAAGAAATGCGTGAGAAGCTTTTCGGAAACGTAAACGAGTATAAAGTTTCGAAATTCGAAGCGTGCTACAGGGAGTATTTTTGTTTACAGTGTTCATCTTTCCACGTATTTGTTGGAGCGTGAAACATGCAAGTTTGTGTAAACACCGTCACATTACCGTGTTTACGTTTCTGCACTTACATGCTAACTTTAATCAAGATTTATTTTCTGCCAAATCCTGTTCAAAGTCGTTTGCAAAGCCTTCTTACACGTTCAAATTAAAGTCGGTACTGTACAGTACGGATTTCCCATGGAGAAGCGCGACAGTTTGTCTCGACGAAGTTGTATATTTCACGCTTGAACAAACACCGAAAAATTGAGCCGTTTGCAACGTTTTCTTAGAAAAGGAATTGCTGCCACAAAACATGTTGATCAAAATAAAGATTCTGATGCAGAAATTATTTTAAGCAATTTAAGGTAATTATTCCTTTCAGTACTGTTAATAAATCATGTTGAGTGTTGAAGACATGTGCTGACTGCTCATTTATTATTGACAGTTAGGAAAACAATGAGGCTTGACAAAAGCCTACAAATTCACGCTAAAAGCTGAAGAATTATTTTCAACCCTGAAAGTTATGGCTTTACTTCGAGTGAAAGACCAATAACTTGAAGATTAAAAACAGGTAAAATTATACAGTTAGGAAACGTTTATACTCATTGAGAGGATTGGATGTAGGAGTGTTGATGAAAGAAGGTAATTTTTTTTATTTTTATGGCTAATACCTCATATAGGAGGCGAAGCCACACATGTCGTTGAAATGAGTCAGTGAGTTAGTAGTTTCCTAGTGCTACTGATTGTTTATTTCAGAGCACTAAAGAAGACGATTAACATCTTAAAATCATCTCAGTATGGTGCGTAAAAAATCTAAGCTTTTCCTTGCAGAAATATCTTAAAAGGTGTGATTGGGGCACATAGAGGAATTTACTTTCTATCAAGAGAAAGCATTTTAATGGTTGGATTAGGGAATTATGCCCAGTAGATTGGAAAGTAAAGGGTTTTTTTTAGTCCTTGCCGTGACACTACACATGATGATAAAATCTCTCAAAATAATTTTACACTGGTGTCTCAGGCATGTATTTGATGACAAGACTGTTCATGGCATAAATATCTGGAAAGTTGACCTTAGTCATACAAGCTCTGAAGACTAATTTTATTTATTTGAAGAGGGAGCATTTTACCATTTCAATCAGCAATTTATACCCAAAAGAGCTGCCAAATTTGAGAAGGGAAGCGATGTCTTAACTAAGATACCTTGAGTTTAGCATGTGGAAAAGGGAAAATTAATTTTAATCAACAGAATAAAAACAAAAGGAGCATAGTTTAATCATTATTTGGGCCTAGAGGATAGACTGATAGAGGAACAGTGAGCTTTTTGAGCTAGCAGATATAAATTATCGCAACTTTTACTATTGTTAACATTATTATGTTTAATATTGTTAATATTATTGTTACCAATCAATTATCGGGTGAGTGTCAAGTAATCAGTATATTCTTGAATCATCTTTCTCTTGTGGAACAGGGTACTTGTAAATATGTGGGGTGCAGTTGGCTTTCCGCACCAGAGACAAATCTTGTGCAACACTACCTTCTAGTATCATTAGACAATCTTGAATTCTTTTTGATACTTTATAGAAATTGTGCTATATCAGTAGCCGCATGAGGTGTTAAACTCCTTTTTTTGTGATTTTTATCATTGTCTTACCTTTTAACCGGATTCTCTCTATTAAAGTCTATTGAGAATCTCTTTCGTAGTGTCCACTAGAAATTTCTTTTGTTCAGTTTTTGTACTTTGGGTTCTCCACTTGAGACAGTGACAAGTATAGATTAAAGTTTAACATCACAAGGACAACATGTAGATTGTGTGAACTGGTTGTGTGAGGCTATGTAAAGGGACTTGTTGGAAATGCACTTCTCTTTGTAGGTCCTTACTCATGTGAAGGTTTTTCATTCAGGGCTTTTGCCAGAAATTGCACTGTCTGTGAATCCCTTTGTTGGTGGCAATTGTTATGGTAGAACTTCCTTTCCTGGAAGAGTACTACAGTGTTTGAAACATATTTTACCCAACTCACCATCCAATTTCTTTGTTTATTCAAACTTAAGACATTGCTTCTGAAACCCTGTCAAATATGTGCATCTGGTTGAGTAAACCTCTTTTTTGTTTGCTTACATTTTAGAACACTTTGCGTGGCAAAAAAAAAATGTCCACTTCTGGGAAAAAGCCATATCAGTGCAAAACTTGTGACCAGTGTTTTGTAAAAAAAGGAAATCTACAAAGACATGAGAGATCTCACACTAGAGGAAAGCCATACCAGTGCAAAACCTGTGACAACTGCTTTCATAGACAAAGAGATCTAGAGGTTCATGAGAGATCCCACACTGGAGAGAAGCCATACCAGTGCAAAACTTGTGACAAAGGGTTTGCACAAAAGGGTAATCTACATAGACATGAAAGATCCCACACTGGAGAGAGGCCATACCAGTGCAAAACTTGTGACAAAGGGTTTGCACAAAAGGGTGATCTACATAGACATGAAAGATCCCACACTCGAGAGAGGCCATACCAGTGTAAAAGCTGTGACAAGTGGTTTAGTGATAAAAGAAATCTACATAGACATGAAAGATCCCACACTGGAGAGAAGCCATACCAGTGTAAGACATGTGATAAGTGGTTTACACAAAAAGAAACTCTAAAAGCACATATGAGATCCCACACTGGAGAGAAGCCATACCAGTGCAAAACTTGTGACAAGTGTTTTGCACGAAAGGGTGATCTAACAGTACATGAAAGATTCCACACTCGAGGGAAGCCATACCAGTGCAAAACTTGTGACAAGTGGTTTGCAAAAAAAAGTCATCTAACAGTACACGAAAGATTCCACACTGGAGAGAGGCCATACCAGTGCAAAACTTGTGACAAAGGGTTTGCACAAAAGGGTGATCTAACATTACATGAAAGATCCCACACTGGAGAGAAGCCATACCAGTGTAAAAGCTGTGACAAGTGGTTTAGTCATAAAGGACATCTGCATAGACATGAAAGATCCCACACTGGAGAGAGGCCATACCAGTGCAAAACTTGTGACAAAGGGTTTGCACAAAAGGGTGATCTACATAGACATGAAAGATCCCACACTGGAGAGAAGCCATACCAGTGTCAACGCTGTGACAAGTGGTTTAGTGATAAAAGAAATCTACATAGACATGAAAGATCCCACACTGGAGAGAGGCCATACCAGTGCAAAACTTATGACAAAGGGTTTGCACAAAAGGGTGATCTACATAGACATGAAAGATCCCACACTCGAGGGAAGCCATACCAGTGCAAAACTTGTGACAAGTGGTTTGCACAAAAAAGTCATCTAACAGTACACGAAAGATCCCACACTGGAGAGAGGCCATACCAGTGCAAAACTTGTGACAAAGGGTTTGCACAAAAGGGTGATCTACATAGACATGAAAGATCCCACACTGGAGAGAGGCCATACCAGTGCAAAACTTGTGAGAAAGGGTTTGCACAAAAGCGTGATCTAACAGTACATGAAAGATCCCACACTGGAGAGAAGCCATATCAGTGTAAAAGCTGTGAGAAGTGGTTTAGTGAGAAAAGAAATCTACATAGACATGAAAGATCCCACACTGGAGAGAAGCCATACCAGTGTAAAAGCTGTGAGAAGTGGTTTAGTGATACAAGAAATCTACATAGACATGAAAGAACCCACACTGGAGAGAAGCCATACCAGTGTAAGACATGTGATAAGTGGTTTACACAAAAAGAAACTCTAAAAGCACATATGAGATCCCACACTGGAGAGAAGCCATACCAGTGCAAAACTTGTGACAAGTGCTTTGCACGAAAGGGTGATCTAACAGTACATGAAAGATTCCACACTCGAGGGAAGCCATACCAGTGCAAAACTTGTGACAAGTGGTTTGCCCAAAAAAGTCATCTAACAGTACACGAAAGATCCCACACCGGAGAGAGGCCATACCAGTGCAAAACTTGTGACAAAGGGTTTGCACAAAAGGGTGATCTAACATTACATGAAAGATCTCACACTGGAGAGAAGCCATACCAGTGTAAAAGCTGTGAAAAGTGGTTTAGTGATAAAAGAAATCTACACAGACATGAAAGATCCCACACTGGAGAGAAGCCATACCAGTGCAAAGCTTGTGACAAGTGGTTTACTCAGAAGAGAACACTTCAAAGGCATGAAAAATTGCACTCTGGACAGCAGCCATATTCCTCAGATTACGATGAAACATTTACTTGCTGGATTTGTCAGGAGGAACTGAGCAGTGCATCCCAGCTCATTAACCACTATGAAGAACACATGAAGTTCCCTTGATTTTATTGTTGAATATAATTCTATCTGATGTAAGATTAAGATTTAAAGAACGTTTGAGTTTTGCAGTAAAATGAATAATGTTGATTTTTCAGATTGACTATCTTATAAAGTGAGACAGGCGTAGTGTTTAGACATTTCGTTACTGTTATATGGATTTATCGGTGCGAAAAGAATCATGGTACTGTAACATGGCGCTGGTGTAGATTAAAGAAACCTGTTGAGTTTATCTGCACCTATCAGGGTATTAACAGGCCATTATTACAACAGGTACAGCTATCACACCTGCAGCAGGCCAAATGCTATATGCTATGCCACTTTTACAATCTGCATCTAATGACAATGTCATTTCTTTTTAAATAGAGGTTGACTGGTTTTCTTTGTCAGTAATGCTCTTCAATAATCTTACAAGCTAATGTTTGTTTTCTAAGGATGCCTTTGCTTCCTCTTTCCTTTAATTTTCTTTAAGCTGAGGAACTGTCATTTTTGTAAAGTCAGTTGAGCTCAAAGGCACAGCAGAGTGAGTTTGAGATGCAACAGTACTTTAACCACTTTGCAGATTAGATAAAGGTGTAGTAATTTCAGGCGGTACAGTTTTTTCTTTTTCGGAGTATGTCCTCTTCCCAGTACTCTAGTTTGTTTCTGATAGGATCTGGGCTCCCATTCCTTTTTTCTTAAGTGCCATTAACATGACTCTTGATGAAGAACATCTCCAATAGAGTCCCACTTGTTGAATTTCCAGAAAACAGTGGACCCTGCAACATCAATGTTCCTTTCAACTCCTTGCTCTGTAAATGTTTTTACTACTTGGTACATTTGGAAAAGCCATGGAATATATGGGAAACCATAATATGAAGGTATTGGGTAACTCTCTTTCACTTGTAACCTTCCCTTAATCCTTTGAGAGAAATGAAATCACTCACCTATTGTTTTGCTTTCAACCAAACTCTGTGGGGCTGGTATTCGGTTGCCAGTTTCTGAGATTTTTTACAGGGCTGCGAAGTACACCCATATTTTTATGATCTTTTCAGCAGTTTCAGGCCTCAAGAAATCATTCATTTTCTCTGGAAGGTGATACAGCATTATTTTCTTATCATTTCTTATGAGACTTATCCATTCGCGAACAGAACTTTCTTTGCCATCTGCATTTTTCTTTCCCAGACATCAAAAGACACTCCACAAGACCTTTTACTGTGAATGAACTTATTACTTATTTAGGTGTGCCTGTTTGTTGATCAGGTTTTCAATACTCTCCTAAATATCCTTTCTGTCGACTTTACGACCATTGTTGTTTTTGCAATCATGGTTCAGTGCATTTTTCTATCTTAAGAGTTAGATCCAACACACTCTACGATTGTTATTCGGGGATTTTCGATTCATTTATTTTCATTGAAAATAGTCGGCTTTTCTTCCCAGTGAGAGGGCTTTTGTTTATATGATAAACAAAATAATACATGGTTGCTTGTAGATATGGAATTTCTCTTCTTGTGTAGAACTTGACATCTCAACACAACTTGACATCTCACTCGTGAGCTATCGAGTGAAACACTCGAAGAGAAATTCCATATCTACGCGCGCCCATGTATTATTCTCTATTTATTCAACCGAAGGAAGGACATATCTAACAAGGTGTTACCTTTGAAACTCAGTACCAATAGATTAGGTTTGAATAGGCAGAGAAAATGGGCAGAATTCGGTGTAAAATTTACTTCAAACAGTACTAGTCCTACATGAATGGATGTTTTATCATAATAATTTCCATTGGCAAAGGTATTTCCAGACAGTTCATGGCGAACAATTTATTACATCATGGCCGCCGCGCATGCGAATCGCATCACTTTGTGGACTTCGCATATCAAACTCTTTCCCCAGTGCGACGAACATTTGTTTTTCTCGGTTGCAGTGAGTTTCCCGATCCCTCTCCTTCTGCTTTCACGCTTACAAAACAGGAAAAATCAAAAGGAGGAAGATACAGCTGTTTTGAAACGCCATTTGACGAAGGTAAATCTGCATTTTGTTCGACACTTTACATAACAAAACAAAGGAAATTTGTTCCCCTTTTTTTTTTTCTTGTTCGAAAGCCATAGTCGATTTCTTTACTGAAAACGGCCCATTAAAACTAGAATTAACGGTTCCCAGCGTCCCTGGAAAAAGGGTTAATATTTTCTTCTCAAACTAGACGAGTTCATCCAGGTGTCACTTTCATGCGGTCTGCGCTCGCTCAAACACCCTTCGTGCAATCATGCTGACTCCAGCCTTACTTCGTCCACCATTTTGAAAATTTCTCTTCTAGCTAGGTAGCCTCTCCTCCTGTTTTCCGAGTTGGAATACAATACATTTTCCCGGGTTTTTTAAAAAAATGTCGGATGACAGAAAATACTGTCAGCATGAATATGCAAAAGTAGTTGAGTTCAGTAAACCGGAGCTTATACCCCGTTCACACCAAAGCTTAAACATGTTTAAAATTTGTTTGATAAACAGATTTAATAATGATGTGCAGCTAAATTTTTGGAGACGAAACCAATTTTCGCCCTGGAAATACCCTATCCATTGTAAAAAGAATGGCATAGAATTATCACTGAGGACCCTCTGAGAAAACCTCACAAGTTTTCCCTGGCCTACAGCTTGTGTTAGATTACGATACTCTGTTGAAAGGAACAATTAGGGACTATGCATTGCGGTAATTATAAATTCATTCTCCGCATGCAAGGTTTAAATGGAGCAACAGCTAACTAAGCATGTGCATGGTGTAAAATCCAAAAGGATGATAGATGGAAAACAGATCAGCATTTTAGTTATTTCAATTCAAAGCCACTTTCAAGGTCTTTACAAGAATTGAAAGAAATGTCCAAAAAATCAAAGAATGATTATGGCTGCTGTAAGGAACCCCTTCTGGACATTGATTGGATCATATAATTGTTGATGAACTTCACCTCCTTTTAAGAATAACTGATAAGTGTTACCTGCCAATTTAATAACAGAAGTTAATGATTGACTTCTTTCAGGTAAACGGCCAAAATCGGCCGATGGAAAAACTTCCAGTTGTCGATTTTCATTCTCAGCCGAGAAATGCTGACATCAAAGCCACTGAATACGTAACTTTCGGTTTTTTCTTTTAGTATATTGGTTTTCTCCCCCTTCTGGAAAAGTTTGAACCTCACTGTCTGTCGCGATACGGAATTTTTCAGTATTTTAGCCGCCACAATCCGAGAACGTTCCGACAAACTACCTAATATTGAGAACCGGGAAGGCTTTGTCGATCATTCATCAAATTGTCCGAGTGGCGCCAAAGGCGAGTGACGTGTCAGTAGCTGATTGGCTATATCAACACACGTGGAAAAAATACGAAATTTTTTCACCTGTGTTGTTACGGCTTTTCTCAGGGCCGGAAATCCCTGTATAACACCGCAGTTTATGTGATAAAAAACTTTTTTCGGAAATTATGAGTAGGTATCAATGGAGAAGTAACTTTGATATTCATAACATAGATTCTTGTTTTACAATAAGATGTTTTCAGTTTTTAGAGTACCCACTTAAGACCAAAGTGCTTAGGGTGCGTTCCTTTGGGAGAATCCGGATCTCGATTTCTGATCTGTGGCGTTCCTTTCGAGCAAATCCATTTTCAGATCAGTGATCTATCAAATCCACTCTGGACAAGGATTCATCGGATCACTGATCTACGTGATCTATAGACGGATCATTGGATCATTGATCCAACGCGTTCCTTTGAGCGAAGGATCCGAAATTAATCATTTTGCCCAGCGGCGCTCAATCTCAAACAAGTAGGTTCTTCATATATTGACTGGAAAGATTTTTGGCAATCGCTCCACAAATTCTGCGATAAATACGAAATAAAATCAATTTTGTAATGTTAAATCGAGCGGCCACTGATCGCAGGCATTCAGGGTTCCCAAGTATCCGTACCGTAATCAATACTTGCTTCTGTAAGTCAGTAGCAGATCTCCCACCACTCCTTTGCCCATGAGGCAGACCTAGGCAAGTAGCTAACAGGCGTTCCATACAGCTGACTGTAGTTCTTGACATCCGAAAATGACTTAAAAAATCTGAAACAATGTAGATTAGTTTAATACGTTCGAAGTAATTCTCAATGTGGACATGGCTCTGCCTCTCCCCTATAAAAAAAAATAGTAATTGTAGTAAAAGTAATCTTGACAACTTCTCACTTCTTGTAGTATTGAATCATCTGAAAGTTCCTTTATTAACGAAAGAACAGCTGTTCTATCCTCGACGCCAATTCCAATTCCGCTTACGCGCTCTACAATTTCGCGCCTGCTCTCATGGTTACTGATCTGGTGATGACTTTGATGCAAAGTGATCTGTGTGATCTTGGATCACAAATCCTAATCCGGAACCTCCTAAAGGAACACACCCTTAAATTTCCCATAAATACCAATCTAGGCCTACTGCTCAACCGCTGACTGAAAATCAATCGGGATGACTCCAGGGCCGTAAAGTACAGCAGAAGGAAGGAAAACTTTCACTTGCTTTACCTTTTCATTGGATTAAAATTTTTACATGTGATACCGATCATTATAGTCTATTCAATAACATATACAACCATACTAGAGTATTAATGTCCACCCAGGAACATATCAACAGGAACTCTCACATCCCATATAAACCCTTGGAGACTTCCTTTGCCCGTATTTTTCTTCATTTGAGAACTTAACTAGAGGTTGCGGTGTGCTGGCTAATCGTAGCAAATGAAATTATTGCGTAACGACGCTCTGTCACACGCGATTACGAGAAACGTTCATCGAGTGAAGACAGTCAAACTTCTGATTGTGATACTCTCGCGGACGTGGTGAGAACAGAGTATTTCGCGGGAATTTTGAAAACTAAGACTGTTCTTAAAATAAAATAATATACAGGCAGCGTAGGTAGGTATGATGCGTGAGAAAGCTCCTTGTCCTAATGCTCAATCTTGTTCCCAGTGTCCTCTCTTCCCTGTTCAAATGAACAACCTTGGGGAACCTGTAAGTGAGGCGGCAGTTACAAGATAACGTCGGTTTAATGAGGAGACAAGGGCGAATCACTTTGGAAAACATAAAAACTTGTAAGGTATGAGTACAATGTTAAATTTAGCTTATTTCCCACGATGGTAGTAGTAGTTGGGTATATACCTAAATAATTTATAGTCATCTGGGTTTCCTTTTCAAATTCGATGGAGTTACCGCTATCAATTAAAAGAACTGAAGTAGTTTGTTTTCATTTGAAATTTACTTTGGAATGTCTCAACTGTTAAATGTTTCCATTGCTATTAAGTATATCTTGAACCGAATGGAAATCTCAATGGAACCAATGTTTCAACAGTGATGCTCTCCGGTAAACTGCAATTTAAGCAATTGCAGAAAAGGAAGGCAAAAATATGTAGGTTTTGACTTCATTCAAACCTGTGCCTCCCAAATACTGCCAACTGAAGAATTTTTCGGGAATGCACCATGGAATTTTGGATGGATGAATAGTGAGCAAATCCTTCTCCTTTTGAGATGGCTGTCCCTTTGTCAGTCAAAAGCATATGAGAGAGTTTCCTTACTAAAGAAATTTTACACTTAATAAGTTATTTGGGCAACAGATAATTTGGAATAAAATAGATGAATGTACTTTGATGAAAGCAAGGTTCAAAATAACAGCCGGCTGCCAGCGGCAGCCGCAACTTTTAGCGCACTTATCAGCGATTTTTCACAGAAGAACCAGAATTTCATAACAAAATATTACGCTTACTGATCGTCCAACTGAAGTAAAAATCGCTGTCATGCTATGATGAACTTTTCATGTTAGGCAATTAAGCAGCCAAGAAATGCGCTAAAAGCTTTTCGGAAACGTAAACGAGTATAAAGTTTCGAAATTCGAAGCGTGCTACAGGGAGTATTTTTGTTTACAGTATTCAGCTTTCCACGTATTTGTTGGAGCGTGAAACATGCAAGTTTGTGTAAACACCGTCACATTATCGTATTTATGTTTCTGCACTTACATACTACCTTTAATCAAGATTTATTTTCTGCCAAATCCTGTTCAATGTCGTTTGCAAAGCCTTCTTACACGTTCAAATTAAAGTCGGTACTGTACAGTACGGAATTCCCATGGAGAAGCGCGACAGTTTGTCTCGAAGAAATTGTATATTTCACGCTTGAAGAAATACCGAAAAATTGAGCCGTTTGCAACGTTTTCTTAGAAAAGGAATTGCTGCCACAAAACATGTTGATCAAAATAAAGATTCTGATGCTGAAATTATTTTAAGCAATTTAAGGTAATTATTCCTTTCAGTACTGTTAATAAATCATGTTGAGTGTTGAAGACATGTGTTGACTGCCCATTTATTATTGACAGTTAGGAAAACAATGAGCCTTGACAAAAGCCTACAAATTCACGCTAAAAGCTGAAGAATTATTATTTTCAACCCTGAAAGTTATGGCTTTACTTCCAGTGAAAGACCAATAACTTGAAGATTAAAAACAGGTAAAATTATACAGTTAGGAAACGTTTATACTCATTGAGAGGATTGGATGTAGGAGTGTTGATGAAAGAAGGTAATTTTTTTTATCATGACGAGCTTTGCTCAAGAAAAGAATTCACACCAGGGATGCGTAAAATGATCCATAGGCTTGTCAAAGTAAAGCGAGAGGACTCAATTAGCAAGTGAAAGCGAGGTGTTTGGCTTCGAGCGTGAAATTAATTGAAGTTAACAATTAAAATGTAAACAGGCGCGAGGATCCGCGCTGCTTGCGCGTTAGGAGTGCTACGAAAATTTAGGACTCTTTTGCACCATTTTCTCTTTAGAAATAACTACGCACTCATGGCGTGAATGGCAATTTTTATAATTGTAGAATGATTCAGCGATAAGAACAGCTTAGCTAAGCCGTAGTGTGTCATGGCATTTGAGGATAGCCTGGTTGTAGTGCGTGACATGACTATCAAGTAACAGTTGTTGTACCCAGCATGTTTTGTCCGTGATCTACAGATCTATTGGTTTGTGACGCAAAGAGCGATTATCTGTTCTGTCACGACAATACCAAAATTAAATTGTGTTAGCCAACTTTTATTTCACTCTGATCAGACCTTTGACTCTAAGTCAGCATGGAGGCCGGTGAGCCGCTCGGTAAGGACCTTGTTTTCAAGAGAGATTTCGACTGCAGTATGTTCTGGAGATACAAGAGTATCATTTAACACTTGAAACGATTGGGTAGATATTTTGATAATACTTTTCTGGCGTCCATACTAAGGAGCTCTTTCAGTATAAAATATCATTTTAGTAAGTCCCAATCATGAGGTAAGCGCGGGGACTTATCCCGCGAAAATTCTGTGCGAAGGTACGAGTGTATTCGGCGGTATCTGCGAAAAGGGGCCATCGTTCTTTCCTTAAGGTAAGGTCTTAACTGTGTATTACTTCGCGAGGAAGAAATTCTATTCGCTGGCCTGTCCAATTTGGCTTTTAGGTAAGGTTGTATGCCTGATAATTTCTGTCTAGAGCTATATGATGACGTGTGATAAATCTCGCTGCTTAATAACCTTTGAGCGGAAAATGATGATGCCCAAACCATTTAATCAGCAAAGCAAGGTTTACCTTTACCTCTGTGCTTTGGAAGCAAGAGAAGGAATTATTTCTGTGATAGTCAGGTGACAGATGCTTAAAATCACATGGTGTATTATCCAACTGTTGAAACCTAACATGAGCCAGATGAACTAATTATGGAATGAACCCTGACATCAGAGCTCAAATATTCCTTCCCTATATGATGACGCACTCTTAGCAGGTTAGTGTGTTTTCTTACTAATCGTACTGTACTATTTCGCAGTTTCGAAAGCAGAATCCTAAAGATGCTCTCGTTCTTTTGTTATTTCTTACCCACTCTCTCGGGTAATCAGTCTTTAGTTGCCTGACTTATCTCCGTGAAGGAAGAACCTTCATTTTTATATTTTTTTCCCGGTTTTGTCATTCGTATGTGAGTTGTTGTTATCTGAATGCAGAACTTCTCCTTTTTTTTCCACTTGGTTCTGTCTCTCATGGGTAGTCAGTTCCGTTTGGGTTGTTGTTATCTGAAGGCAGAACCTTTCCCTTTTTTTCACCTGGTTCTGTCTCTCTTGGGTAGTCAGTCCTATTTGGGCTGTTGTTATCTGAAGGCAGAACCTTTCCTTTTTTTTCCACCTGGTTCTGTCTCTCTTGGGTAGTCAATCCTATTTGGGCTGTTGTTATCTGAAGGTAGGACCTTTCCCTTTTTTTCACCTGGTTCTGTCTCTCTTGGGTAGTCAGTCCTATTTGGGCTGTTGTTATCTGAAGGCAGAACCTTTCCCTTTTTTTCACCTGGTTCTGTCTCTCTTGGGTAGTCAGTCCTATTTGGGCTGTTGTTATCTGAAGGCAGAACCTTTCCTTTTTTTTCCACCTGGTTCTGTCTCTCTTGGGTAGTCAGTCCTTTTTGGGCTGTTGTTATCTGAAGGCAGAACCTTTCCCTCTTTTTCACCTGGTTCTGTCTCTCTTGGGTAGTCAGTCCTATTTGGGCTGTTGTTATCTGAAGGCAGAACCTTTCCCTTTTTTTCACCTGGTTCTGTCTCTCTTGGGTAGTCAGTCCTATTTGGGCTGTTGTTATCTGAAGGCAGAACCTTTCCCTTTTTTTCACCTGGTTCTGTCTCTCTTGGGTAGTCAGTCCTATTTGGGCTGTTGTTATCTGAAGGCAGAACCTTTCCCTTTTTTTCACCTGGTTCTGTCTCTCTTGGGTAGTCAGTCCTATTTGGGCTGTTGTTATCTGAAGGCAGAACCTTTCCCTTTTTTTCACCTGGTTCTGTCTCTCTTGGGTAGTCAGTGTTATTTGGGCTGTTGTTATCTGAAGGCAGAACCTTCCTTTTTTTTCACCTGGTTCTGTCTCTCTTGGGTAGTCAGTCTTATTTGGGCTGTTGTTTTCTGAAGGCAGAACCTTTTTTTTTTTTTCATTTGGTTCTGCCTCTCTTGGGTAGTCAGTCCTATTTGGACTGTTGTTATCTGAAGGCAAAATGGTTCCTTTTTTATTTGGTTCTGTCTCTCTTTGGGAGTTGTTTCAATTTAGACTGTGCGTTTTCATCTTATGACAAACTAATTTTGAGTATGAATTGTGACATAATTAAATTTACTTGACTTAAATTTTTTTCCTTTGCAGATTTCATTGAACGTTAACCGCGAAAAGTCGCGATGAAAAAGCAATGTTTGTTTTGATAAAAAAAGATAGCTTTCCTGTTGAGATGACTAACCAAATAAGTGCACGTTCCGTTGACTGGTAATTTGTATGTCGATGTTGTGTTTGCCTTGGTGGTGTCTGTCCTCAAATCCCGTGATATTTCAATTAAAAATAAATAACGAGTTTAGGAATAAAATTACCAACGAGTAAAATACCTCTTCTCGTAACGTATTAAATTGTATTTACATTTCCAACTCTTGCTTCAGACAGGAGATGTAAAATGGGTCATAGATTGTAAAAGAGATTTGTGAGTAAAGAACTTTTTCTACTTGTCCTTTTTTATTTTCTCGCAGCCTTATACAAGAGGTTCGCTGTGTTCGCAGTGGCGTGCCAGGAAACCCCAGCAGGAAAATCTTTTTAAAGATTTTATTCCTTTAATGATATCTTTAAAGTATATTACTCCCTTAGCATTTAGCCAATTATATGGTTGCAGTGGAGGGTGCAAAAAAACTCAGTTATATATTTCTTTACAGGCCAATATTATCAGAAAAAACCCAAACAAACGAACAAAATGAGGTCTGTTGCGCTGTGTGATCCATGAGTGTTCTCATCGCGGTTAGGGCTTGCTGTTGCTTGCGGTATTATTTTCCGGAGTGGACATACCATTACTACATTTTTGTTAGCGTTTAAAAATTGGAAATACATGGTTTTGGTAAAAAACTTCATCTTTTTAAACTCTTAACGACTGTCGAGTTGGGTGTATCAATAGAGTGGGTCAGCAAATTTGCATTCTATGTTGCGCAAGGGGCAAGAGAAAATGGTTGACTCCCCGCAAGTGAAGCTGACGCTCCAGGTCGATGTCGATCCATTATTATCCTTCGTAAACAAAATTTCGATCATGTAGTTAAATTATAAAATTTCTTTGGCTTACATTGTGCGCTTTAAAGTAAACTTGAGTTGTTAGTTCCACACGAGGGTTTAACCTTGAAAAATGCAATCACACGAGTGAAGCTGACATTAATGTGTGTCCCTATCTGGAAAACATTCGTATTGTGACAAGAAGGGTCTACTTTAAGGTTTTGGGTTACTCTCGCCATGCAATTTGGATGCCGAAAAGTGCCAAAAAAGTAATTACTGAAAATTCATCCACAACACCTCGGTCGTTCTGTGGGCGCGAAGTCAGTTCTTCTCTTACAGTTAATAATTGCCAGGCGGATCTCAGATCCGCCTCAGCCTCATTTGCATAAATTCTTTTGGTGAGCAAAGCTCATCATGTTATGGCTAATACCTCATATACCCCACACATGTCGTTGAAATGAGTCAGTGAGTTAGTAGTTTCCTGGTGCTACTGATTGTTTATTTCAGAGCACTAAAGAAGACGATAAACATCTTAAAATCATCTCAGTATGGTGCGTAAAAAATCTAAGCTTTTCCTTGCAGAAATATCTTAAAAAGGGGTGATTGGGGCACATAGAGGAATTTACTTTCTATCAAGAGAAAGCATTTTAATGGTTGGATTAGGGAATTATGCCCAGTAGATTGGAAAGTAAAGGTTTTTTTTTAGTCCTTGCCGTGACACTACACATGATAAAATCTCTCAAAATAATTTTACACTGGTGTCTCAGGCACGTATTTGATGACAAGACTGTTCATGGCATAAATATCTGGAAAGTTGATCTTAGTCATACAAGCTCTGAAGACTAATTTTATTTATTTGAGGAGGGAGCATTTTACCATTTCAATCAGCAATTTATACCCAAAAGAGCTGCCAAATTTGAGAAGGGAAGCGATGTCTTAACTAAGATACCTTGAGTTTAGCATGTGGAAAAGGGAAAATTAATTTTAATCAACAGAATAAAAACAAAAGGAGCATAGTTTAATCATTATTTGGGCCTAGAGGATAGACTGATAGAGGAACGGTGAGCTTTTTGAGCTAGCAGATATAAATTATGGCAACTATTACTGTTGTTAACATTATTATGTTTAATATTGTTAATATTATTGTTGCCATTCAATTATCAGGTGAGTGTCAAGTAATCAGTATATTCTTGAATCATCTTTCTCTTGTGGATCAGGGTATTTGTAAATATGTGGGACGCAGTTGGCTTTCTGCACCTGAGACAAATCTTCTGCAACACTACCTTCTAGTATCATTATACAATCTTGAATATTTTGTGATTTTTATCATTTTCTTTTATCTTTTAACCAGACTCTTTCCATTAAAGTCTATTGGGAATTTCTTTTGTAGTGTCTACTAGAACTTTCTGTTGTCCAGTTTTTGCACTTTGGGTTGCTCCACTTGATGGTGATAGGTGGAGTGACTTTTCCATTAAGACAAGTTCATTGAACAAATTGTTCACACAATGACAACTATAGATTAAAGTTTAAAATCACAGGGACAACATTTAGATTGTATGAACTGGTTGTGTGAAGCTATGTAAAGGGACATGTTGGAAATGCACTTCTCTTTGCATGTCCTTACTCATGTGAAGGTTTTCTTTCAGGGCCTTGGCCAGAAATTGCACTGTCCGTGAATCCCTTTGTTAGTGGCAATTGTTACAGTAAAACTTTCTTTCCTGGAAGAGTATGACTGTTTGAAACATATTTTGCTCAACTCACCATCCAATTTCTTTGTTTATTCAAACTTAATTCATTGCTTCTGAAACCCTGTCAAATATGTACGTCTGGTTGAGTAAATCTCTTTTATCTTTGCTTCTTACATTTTAGAATACTTTAGCATGGCTAAAACATCCACTTCTGGGAAAAAGCCATACCATTGCAAAACTTGTGACAAGCGGTTAACTAGGAAACAAGATCTGCAAAGACATGAAAGATCCCACACTGGAGAGAAGCCATACCGGTGCAAAACATGTGACGAGTGCTTTGCACGAAAGGGTGATCTCACAGTACATGAAAGATTCCACACTGGAGAGAGGCCATACCAGTGCAAAACTTGTGACAAGTGGTTTAGTCAGAAAGGAAATCTACAAGTACATGAAAGATCCCACACTGGAGAGAAGCCATACCAGTGCAAAACTTGTGACAAGTGCTTTGCCCAAAAGGGTGATCTAACAGTACATGAAAGATTCCACACTGGAGAGAAGCCATACCAGTGCAAAACTTGTGACAAGTGGTTTGCACAAAAAAGTCATCTAATAGTACACGAAAGATCCCACACTGGAGAAAAGCTATACCAGTGCAAAACTTGTGACATGTGGTTTTGTCAGAAAGGAAATCTACAAGTACATGAAAGATCCCACACTGGAGAGAAGCCATACCAGTGCAAAACTTGTGACAAGTGGTTTGCACGAAAGCATGATCTAACAGTACATGAAAGATCCCACACTGGAGAGAAGCCATACCAGTGCAAAAGCTGTGACAAGAGGTTTAGTGATAAAAGAAATCTACATAGACATGAAAGATCCCACACTGGAGAGAGGCCATACCAGTGCAAAACTTGTGACATGTGGTTTAGTCAGAAAGGAAATCTACAAGTACATGAAAGATCCCACACTGGAGAGAAGCCATACCAGTGCAAAACTTGTGACAAGTGGTTTGCACGAAAGCATGATCTAACAGTACATGAAAGATCCCACACTGGAGAGAAGCCATACCAGTGCAAAAGCTGTGACAAGAGGTTTAGTGATAAAAGAAATCTACATAGACATGAAAGATCCCACACTGGAGAGAGGCCATACCAGTGCAAAACTTGTGACAAGTGCTTCGCACGAAAGGGTGATCTAACAGTACATGAAAGATTCCACACTGGAGAGAAGCCATACCAGTGCAAAACTTGTGACAAGTGGTTTAGTCAGAAAGGAAATCTACAAGTACATGAAAGATCCCACACTGGAGAGAAGGAATACCAGTGCAAAAGCTGTGACAAGTGGTTTAGTCAGAAAGGACATCTACAAGTACATGAAAGATCCCACACTGGAGAGAAGCCATACCAGTGCAAAACGTGTGACCAGTGGTTTAGTCAAAAAGGAAATCTACATAGACATGAAAGATCCCACACTGGAGAGAAGCTATACCAGTGCAAAACTTGTGACAAGTGCTTTGCACGAAAGCATGATCTAACAGTACATGAAAGATCCCACACTGGAGAGAAGCCATACCAGTGCAAAAGCTGTGACAAGAGGTTTAGTGATAAAAGAAATCTACATAGACATGAAAGATCCCACACTGGAGAGAGGCCATACCAGTGCAAAACTTGTGACAAAGGGTTTGCACAAAAGGGTGATCTACTTAGACATGAAAGATCCCACACTGGAGAGAGGCCATACCAGTGCAAAACTTGTGACAAAGGGTTTGCACGAAAGGGTGATCTAACAGCACATGAAAGATCCCACACTGGAGAGAAGCCATACCAGTGTAAAAGCTGTGACAAGTGGTTTAGTGATAAAAGAAATCTACTCAGACATAAAAGATCCCACACTGTAGGGAAGCCTTACCAGTGCAAAGCTTGTGACAAGTGGTTTACTCAGAAGGGAACACTTCAAAGGCATGAAAAATTGCACTCTGGACAGCAGCCATATTCCTCAGATTACGATGAAGCATTTACTTGCTGGACTTGTCAGGAGGAACTGAGCAGTGCATCCCAGCTCATTAACCATTATGAAGAACACATGAAGTTCCCTTGATTTTATTGTTGATAAGTCTATCTGATGTAAGATTAAGATTTAAAGAACGTTTGAGTTTTGCAGTAAAATGAATAATTTTGATTTCTCAGATTGACTGTCTTATAAAGTGGGATGGGTGTAGTGTTTAGACATTTCGTTACTGTTATATGGATTTATCGGTGCGAAAAGAATCATGGTACTGTAACATGGCGCTGGTGTAGATTAAAGAAACCTGTTGAGTTTATCTGAACCTATCAGGGTATTAACAGGCCATTGTTACAACAGGTACAGCTATTACACCTGCAGCAGGCCAAATGCTATATGCTATGCCACTTTACAATCTACATCTAATGACAATGTCATTTCTTTTTAAATAGAGGTTGACTGGTTTTCTTTGTCAGTAATGCTCTTCAATAATCTTACAAGCTAATGTTTGTTTTCTAAGGATGCCTTTGCTTCCTCTTTCCTTTAATTCTTCTTTAAGCTGAGGAACTGTCATTTTTGTAAAGTCAATTGAGCTCAAAGGCACAGCAGAGTGAGTTTGAGACGCAACAGTACTTTAACCACTTTGCAGATTAGATAGAGGTGTAGTAATTTCAGGCGGTACAGTTTTTTCTTTTTCGGACTATGTTCTCTTCCCAGTTCTCTAGTTTGTTTCTGATAGGATCTGGGCTCCCATTCCCTTTTTCTTAAGTGCCATTAACATGACTCTTGATGAAGACCCTGCAACATCAATGTTCCTTTCAACTCCTTGCTCTGTAAATGTTTTTCCTACTTGTACATTTGGAAAAGCCATGGAATATATGGGAAACCATAATATGAAGGTATTGGGTAACTTTCTTTCACTTGTAACCTTCCCTTAATCTTTTGAGAGAAATGAAATCACTCACCTATTGTTTTGCTTTCAACCAAAACTCTGTGGGGCTGGTATTTGGTTGCCAGTTTCTGAGATTTTTTACAGGGCTGCGAAGTACACCCATATTTTTATGATCTTTTCAGCAGTTTCAGGCCTCAAGAAATCATTCATTTTCTCTGGAAGGTGATACAGCATTATTTTCTTATCATTTCTTATGAGACTTATCCATTCGTGAACAGAACTTTCTTTGCCATCTGCATTTTTCTTTCCCAGACATCAAAAGACACTCCACAAGACCTTCTACCGTGAATGAACTTATTACTTATTTAGGTGTGCCTGTTTGTTGATCAGGTTTTCAATACTCTCCTCAATATCCCAATCATTAACTTCTGTTATTAAATTGGCAGTTAACACTTATCAGTTATTCTTAAAAGGAGGTGAAGTTCATCAACAATTATATGATCCAATTTAATGTCCAGAAGGGGTTCCTTACAGCAGCCATAATCATCCTTTGATTTTTTGGACATTTCTTTCAATTCTTGTAAAGACCTTGAAAGTGGCTTTGAATTGAAAGAACTAAAATGCGGATCTGTTTTCCATCTATCATCCTTTTGGATTTTACACCATGCACATGCATAATTAGCTGTTGCTCCATTTAAACCTAGCATGCGGAGAATGAATTTATAATTACTGCAATGCATGGTCCCTAATTGTTCCTTTCAACAGAGCATCGTAATCTAACACAAGCTGTAGGCCAGGGAAAACTTGTGAGGTTTTCTCAGAGGGTCCTCAGTGATAATTCTATGCCATTCTTTTTGCAATGGATAGGGTATTTCCAGGGCTAAAATTGGTTTCGTCTCTAAAAATTTAGCTGCATATCATTATCAAATCTGTTTATCAAACAAATTTTAACATGTTTAAGCTTTGGTGTGAACGGGGTATAAGCTCCGGTTTACTAAACTCAACTCAACTTTTGCATATTTATGCTGACAGTTCTTTCTGTCATCCGACATTTTTTTTAAAAACCCCGGGGAAATGTATTGTATTCCAACTCGGAAAACAGGAGGAGAGGCTACCTAGCTAGAAGAGAAATTTTCAAAATGGTGGACGAAGTAAGGCTGGTGTCAGCATGATTGCACGAAGGGTGTTTGAGCGAGCGCAGAGCGCATGAAACTGACACCTGGATGAACTCGTCTAGTTTGAGAAGAAAATATTAACCCTTTTTCCAGGGACGCTTGGAACCGTTAATTCTAGTTTTAATGGGCCGTTTTCAGTATAGAAATCGACTATGGGTTTCGAACAAGAGATTCAGATTGAAGGACATCAAACATGAGCACAGAGAACTTATGTGGAACGTTTTAAGCTATCACGTTTAGACAAATTTAAGGGGAATTAGAGAAGAAGTATAGGGGATTTTTCAGGAACAGGAGGAAATTTCAAAAGCGTTGGGAACCGTCGATTCATCAACTCTTTGTAAACAATATTGCTCAAAGGCAAAAGGAAATATTCTTCATTACTGGGATACCTGTGGTAGCTCAGTCATAAAATGCCTTTGTTTTTTTGTCGGCCTTTTTTTTTTTCCTCCGCCACAAACTTGTTGGAAAAAGCAAAATCTGAAATCTGAAATCTGAAACCAAACTGCATATACTCTATGCAATCTATTGAACAACACTACTACCGTGAGACTGAAGAACATAACTATAATGGATGCAAACTGCTTGTGAAGAAAGACGACATGTTGGATTCACTTGATGGCAAGAAACGTAGGTACGATAACAGTACGAATGGTATTAATTTCACGATCAGAAAGGTGAATCTTATGTTTGTTTTCATTGTAGTTGTATGGATATTCTTTTTTAATAAATAAGTGATCCAAAACCCTGTGTTTTTTTATGTATAATGTTATTATGTTAAATATTGTTTACGCAATTGTCTTGTCACAGGCAGCCCAAGCTCACGTCTCGAGAAAAAGCCAACGATTAATTCATGAACGCGTCACGCGTTGTGTGACTCGGTGTTAAGTTACGAGAGGAACTGTTGGAAATTTGAACACGTTATAAGGAATAGTATAGGGAACGAAGTAAGGTCGATTTACAACGATAAATATCTCGAAATGTGAACATTTTTCTCGTAAAATCAATAAAACTTACTCATACCCTGTGTATCCGTTGTACTTTCTGGCGATTTCTGCCGTTTTAAGCTTGCTTTACCATCACTGTTATTCACGTCATCTGCTTTTATTACGTTGGTAAAATCTGTACAGACATCACACCAACCAACTCGCGCGCAAAGTAAGAAGACTATATTGAAGGCTTGAATTAATATTGCGATCGATTTCATCGAGAAATGGGCCAGGAATATTCCACAATAGTGCAAATTATCGTGAAGGGGGATCGCAGAAAAGCGATTGCGAGACGGGCGGTAAGCTGTAAGATGACATGTTATTATATACCAGACGTAAAAACTCTTCAGATTCTTAGTCTGCATTTTGTACCTACTCTGTAGTCTGCAGTCTATATTTTGTATCCGGTCTGCAGTCTGCATTTTTTACTAACAGGTATCCGTGGCACCAATACAGTTTATTTTTGATTACATTTATTCGCAAAACACACATAATCTACCTCAAAATACCTGTGAGTGAGGTAATTCGACATTTTCGTTCTTTCCCACATTAATATTCTTCTCTCCTTTTGTATTATGTAGACATCACTCACAATGTTTCAAGTAATCCCCCACCCTACAAAAAAGTAACTCTTGCATGCATAGCATGCCTATGTTTTGAAATAGGTGTATGCCCTTGGCCTGAGTTGAGCGCACTATTTCAGTATACTAGTCCGACACCCGTAGTATCACTACACTTGATTTCAAGGATCCAGTACCATCCAGGTATCCCAGTTACCCTGCTCACAGGGTCTAGTTTAAATTGGATTTGGCGACCTGACAAAAGTTTTATTCATAAGCTATGAAAGGAAGGTTTTCACTACGGTAAGTCCAGTTTTCACTGTTTTCTCTGTAATTTCAAACGCGCCGAAGTACAATCTAAGTCCACAAAGTGACGCGATTCGCATGCGCGGCGGCCATGATGTGATAAATTGTTCGCCATGAACTGTCTGGGAATACCTTTGCTAATGGTAATTGTTATGATTAAACATCCATTCATGTAGGACTATTACTGTTTGAAGTAAATTTTACACCGAATTCTACCCATTTTCTCTGCCTATTCAAACCTAATCTATTGGTACTGAGTTTCAAAGGTAACACCTTGTTAGATATGTCCTTCCTTCGGTTGAATAAATAGAGAATAATACATGGGCGCGCGTAGATATGGAATTTCTCTTCGAGTGTTTCACTCGATAGCTCACGAGTGATATGTCGAGTTGAACACGAGAAGAGAAATTCCATATCTACAAGCAACCATGTATTATTTTGTTTATCATATAAACACAAAAGCCCTCTTACTGGGAAGAAAAGCCGACTATTTTCAATGAAAATAAATGAATCGAAAATTCCCGAATAACAATCGTAGAGTGCGTTGGCTCTAACTCTTAAGATAGAAAAATGCTCTGAACCATGATTGCAAAAACAACAATGGTCGTAAAGTCGACAGAAGACTTCTTTCAGGTAAACGGCCAAAATCGGCCGATGGCAAATCTTCCAGTTGTCGATTTTCATTCTCAGCCAAGAAATGCTAACATCAAAGCCACTGAATACGTAACTTTCGGTTTTTTCTTTTAGTATATTGGTTTTCTTCCCCTTCTAGGAAAGTTTGAACCTCACTGTCAGTCAGCGATACGGATTTTTCAGTATTTTAGCCGCCACAATCCGAGAAAATTCCGACAAACTACCTTATATTGAGAACCGGGAAGGCTTTGCCGATCACTCATCAAATTGTCAAAGTGGCGCCAAAGGCGAGTGACGTGTTAGCAGCTGATTGGCTATATCAACACACGTCAAAAAATACGAAATTTTTTCACGTGTGTTGTTACGGCTTTTCTCAGGCCGGAAATCCCTGTATAACACCGCAGTTTATGTGATAAAAAACTTTTTTCAGAAATTATGAGTATGTATC